AGAATATTTTTTTCCATTATGTGTATTTTCACCAATAGTGGCATTTATCTAAGAGTAACGTTATTTTAAAAGATTCAAGTCTCATTAAACAAAATCCACAAAGCATGATTACCTTGAGCACATCTATCTTCAAGTGACCAGTGTTTCTCTGTGTTCACTATAACCAAAGTATGTGCATGTGGATATGGTGATCCTGGTAAAAATCCTGTATCTGTCCTTGCATTAGATGCTACTTGCTGAAGATCAAATACTGGTGCAATAAAATCAAGATTGTTCAAGTTCTSATGTTCTGTATTTTGCACCTCATTAATTGTTACAAAGTTAGKTAAGGGCTTTTTTGATGAAATTAAAAACCCTATGTTTCCTGAGACTTGGACAAGGTCATCATGGCGCTTCCATACAGCAGTGACCTGGGGTTTGTATGACAATGACATGTCATAAAGACCAGTGAATCTAAGAAAATAATAATGCTAAATATTAATACTAGTAACTTCATGCTACATCTTTAAATAAATGGAGTTAAATGAAATTTGGAAGAAGGTGGCTATTCAGAAAAAGTAACAATATCTGAATGGTAATGACAAAAGTACCTATAAGGACAAAATAGATTTACATTAATACAAATTTGTACACACAGTATTTAGTGAAAGGATAATATAGTGCTTGATCAGTTAATTGTTACTTTCACAGCCAATAATATAAAAAAATTCCTGTTTATGATGAAGTGTTACTTTGAAACATTGTGCTTGCAGCCATTATTAGAAGTAGGACGTACAGATTTTAGGTATTGCAGTATTGAGCTATTTTTGTTGGAGTACAGTAATTTGTATTTTAGCATGTGGCAATCAAATAATATGTGATATAGTGCTATTCATGTAATTTAGGGCTTGCTACTATAAACCACTCAAATATCTCGACCCGTCCAAAATGTCATTTGACAAAGGTCCAAATCAACATGACTGTTGCAATGCCAGTATTTTTTATCAGTTTAGTTGTAGTACAGTAAACATCAAAAAATAAGRATCTAATGGATTAAGAACCTCTTGGCAGAAATTTGCCATTTTAACAACCTCTTAAATAAGAACCTCTTTAGCTAAACAATTTATCAAGAAGGTTCTTCTAATATGGGTTTGAACTAAATTGCAGGATAAAAAACTATTAGTTACTCAATTTGAAGATTGCATACAAATAYTGTATTGAATTTATAAATATACAGTTTTTGAGTTGATTATTTACTTGTTACAGTACAGCTAAAAGTTACCAGGTGTGACATGGTGATGACATGGTGGTTTATCAAATTTATATATTTATATATTAATTATTGTAACTTTAACGTAATTCAGCCTTTTGGCTGCCAAGTTATTTGAATAAAACTATCTATCTATCCATCTATCTGACATGGGATCAGGGATCATGGTTATTTTGGGATCAGGGATCGGGATTTGTTGCATTGGGATCGGGATCACAGCCAATCAGTCTTTCATCTTCGCTGGGGACTCTGTTTTATAGCTCAATCCCACAGCACTTTTTTAATAAAGATGTACAAACCAGTGATAAAGCATGCCATATGCGACAATATCCTTTCCTTATGAAAAAAACTTTTCATACAAGATCGTCTTTCTCAAGCATCGCAGCACTTCAATTTTGATAAAAATCGCTAGTATTATAGTATATTCAACAATTAGACCCGAAGCCTGAAGGGGCTATGGTTCAATAGCCCACGAGACCGAAGGTTGAGTGGGCTATTGAACATAGCCCATGAGGGCGAGAGGTCTATTTGTTTTATTATCCAACAACTTTTTCATTTTATTCACATTTTCTAGATTTTGAGAAACAAAATATTTTCTTTTTGTGAATTCAGTAGAAAACAAATTTACAAAGCACTCGTGACTCAATAAAATCACAATCACTGATGAAATGGAAAAATCACACAAAAAACTTATAAATTGAATGTCAACAATTTACTGAAAATACTTTATTAAATACCTGCATAGTAGAGTACAAACATTAAATGTWTGTTCTTATTTTCAGGAGTTTACTTTATTCAGTATTTGTCCTATTTTTTGTCCAGTATTGCCCTATCAAGACCCCCTTACTGTACACCCCACCTCTATGAGGGTAGAGACACTTGTGGGTGTGCATCCTTACCGAAAATTGTCCTAGATTACGTCATATTGCAAAGCTGCTCGARTCTAATAGAGAAAAGTCGACTGGAAGTGTTTATGCTATTTAATAAAKCTCTATATAAGTTACTTTATAATTTCTATGATCTAATTAGCTACGTAAGTTAATGTCCATTATACATTTTGCCCTAAAAACATCATTTTTATCCAAAACAAGACACTCTTCAATGACGTATAAACGATATCAAATAAACKCTCAACATGATTTTCAATTATTYACCTGTACTTTTTGTCTATTAAACGCAGCTGTAACTTTTACACTTAAAACTTTACCTTGCTGACCTGCTCCAAACAGCCTTCAGCATGTTCATCATCAATGGAAGAGCACACGTCGTTTTGGTGGATCTTTCTCCATCATAATTAAAAAGACGAGTCTGTATGATATTCTGTCTGTAACTGTCCATTATTTCCTGCTGTAAATCATGSTCTATGGTTATATTTTGTAAACGACTAGGTAGTTCTCCGTTGACGATGGTCYTGGTCAGGTACAGCGCTTGTTCTTTACTTTCTAAAGTTCTCGTTCTGGGATGGAAAGCGTACGGTTTTGCAGCAGAGCAAAAAGAAACCTTTCCAATGTAGTTCGAAGAGAGAGGATAAGTCTTATCAGGTTTCAAAAGAAACAAACAAAACTTTTTAAATTGAGAAGACTTTCTGTACCATGTGGCAGCCATTTTGACAAAATGATTTGTACCAGGCTWCCCACGGACAGATCGGTAACACAGGAATACCAATGATCGGTTCATTGCAGTYTAATTCTCACATAAAATTTTGAGGCTGAGTGAACAAGTATATATAAAAATCAGTAAATCATAGGTGGTCCAAACTAAGCCTTTATTGTGTTGTTTTTATCAATATAAGGAAAGTGATTTACGGCTGTTGTTGTTGCGGACGCAATATTGAATTATAAACGCCCTGAGCATTTACACAAATGTTAATAAAAACTTAACACACGGATAATGACGTTTATTACATTCTTCATATCCTCTTATATTTATAAAAACAGCTTATGCCCCAAGGTGTTATAGGGAAATTTGGAACTTAAATCGATGTTTCCATTTGGTACTAAGTTCTTTGACTCTCCAGTCCCTTTGTAACAGACCTCCCAGAATGTCACAATCCACGAGTCTCGCCAAAGTGAGTGGAAGGTGTGTTTATTGGTTATTTATGACACTTCACTGAAAATTGTAGTCTTTTAGTGTTTGATTACCTTTATATAAATCACCGGTGAATCCGAAATAAACATTTTTTTATAAACATTTGAAAGCTCAATCTTTCAATTGACGATGCTGGAGTGCGACAATTGGAATAAAAACACATCCTGTTCAGATCTAYGGTGATGACGAAACTGCATGATTTTCTTCTTTAATAGTATGAAAAATAATGATTGTCACCTGTTTAACATCCATCCGTCAGGGGCCGAAGAGACACAAGCGGCCCCCCACTTTTTACTTCCGAAAAATAAGATTAAGATAAAAAATTCCAAAAAAAATCGATGATCAGAGCTCGACTACTGAATGTAACGATATCAAGTTGGAAACGTTAAAGAGTCAAATTCAAGTAATGCGTCAGATACTGAAGGGCGAGGGTCCTATGGAATATTTTGATTGCATTTTTTTCGCAGTTAAGAAACTATCCAAAGCAGAAAAATAGCTTAGTTAGTGAGGCGGTGACCCTATGTAAGCTGTTGGCAGTCAATCCAACTACCAGCGCTTCGTGCGAACGATCATTTTCAGCAGCAGACGTCTCAGTGAAAACCTGGCTAAGATCAAACATGACACAGCAACGATATTCAGCAATCTCACGCTACTAATATTGCCATAAGAGGTAACAGAGGAGCTGAATGTCATTGAAATCGCCAATGCCCTGGCTGGACGCAACGACAACCGAAAGAAGAATTTTGTGCTCTTGCAGATCGCTCGAAGAGAAAAAAGTCTATAAAATATCAAAAAATATTTCAATTTTTCAATTCGCTTGAGAGAACCTGAAATTTAGTGATTAAACGGCATTTATGAATAACCACGCGTGTAGTTACATAAGATTTAATTTATAATATAAACCTTCTTCTATATGAACATGAGAGCCTTCTATGCGTACAWGAAAGCCATACATATGGRCATCCATATATGGAAGTCGTACGACGGACTCTACTCGATTTTGTATGGTTTTATCACAAGGGAACTCAAGCGATGACGTTGGAGAGGGGAGATTTTTAAAAGTCATCAGTCATAATGCTCAATAARGTTGAATAAAATAAAAGTAATTCATTTTTGAYAAGTGCAATTTTATTTATAATCATTGCATGTRGCCTCCCTGTACCTCCTGGATTTGCACCCTGTGCACCATCCTCGAGGTACGGCTATGCTAAAACTATTTGCTAAACCTGTATATAATCGACAATGGATGTAAAATAAGACCTCCTTCTTTCTTAAAAATAGCTCCATCGTCTCTTTAATAGAATTTCTTATCACTAAAATATAATAAAAAAGGACTTCACTGATCATGACTTTGTGGCTATTTTACTACTATTATATCATTCTAATATTACATACTGTATACACTTGTAAAGGTTTCAAACACTATCATCAGGTGCGCCCTGTTGAGATTGAGTAGARGGCCCACTAGCTTGTTGCTGTTGACTTTGCAGTATCTCAAGAATACTGTATTTGCGATGTTGACCAGAATGGCTGCCATTGATACTTGGTAAACGCTTCCTTCGTTTTGGTCTACCTTTCTCTTCCAGCCAAGCCAACTCTGCATGAAGACGATCWCGAGTACCGCTCTTTTCCAATACGTGGACATATTCRGTTGGTATTGTCAAGTCATTCTCGGTAGTTCGWGCACCTTCAGTTCGAATGTTGTTTTCTGTTTGTTCATCACAAACAGGATGGACGCGGTTTTTAGCGATTGGTGTTGTTGGTCTAGAGACTCTTGGTGAATTTATGTTTAATGACAAGCGAGATGTCCCGCCTTCTCTCTCATCAGGAAGTATATCCATTTCAATACCCTCATCCTACAATAAAACAATCATTCCTCTAGACAAAGAAACTACTAACTGGATAAAGCCATTGCACAGCACTTCGACAATGCAGCAACATTTTGGCATGGACGAAGGCTTTTCTATCGATTTGAAAATTCATTAGTTACAAACCAATTTAGACAAATGCCGAACAGGATGGACATGGAAGAGTGAGAGAAACACAGTCGTAAGCACGCCTAGAATGCAAAAGGTGAGCAAACGGGAGGRAGGTTTKAAAAATATTTAGTAGTTAGTAGTGCGTAAGGAAATCAAGCAGCTTTACAAAGAGGTCTCTTAGTGTGGAGGTGGAGAGAAAAATCTCTTAGTTATACCTSCATGAGACCGAGGGGACAATARTCACGACCATTTGAATGAGAAAGGCCRCAGTATAAACTTYGGAGATGACCATAAATCTTACCTCGTTATGAGAATAAAAGCTGSTCGTAGTTTTATTYGATGATTTAGAAGTATCGGCTTTGGTAGTTTCTTCTTCGATATTTTGGCTAAAAAAATCATAAACCAAACAAAATGTTATAAGTAATGATTGCTGTTTTTACTGTAACTTCTAATTTTAGYTTTATTTGATAGAGACGATGTGCGTATAATCTACAGAATGGATCGTTGTCTATCGGATTAAATTTAAATWAAAAATTTCAGCAAACACTTATGTRCACATTTGGTTAAATATCTGAAGACGTTATACGAACTTGAAATGTAACAAAACACGAAAGCGAGTGTGGTTAGGCATTAACATTACCGGTTGCACGTATGGTGGATAAAAGTTGTACATCAGATAAAGCTACTGCATCCACTATGTAGAGTTTTATATTGGATTTTACACGCTGGTTTACTTTCTATCCGTTGGGTAGCGATATTCATCACCCGTMCCCTGCCCGTGGACATAGTGATTATAATCCTATAGTCCTTACCTCTCGGTGTCATTTTCACTTGACTTGACCAGAGTAACTAAAATGGAATAATGACAGTATATAAATATAATACAGAAGTGACAACAAAAACAACTATAGTAAAATGTTCTATTTTGACTTGTTTATTAKRAGTTTTCCGGGACATGGWTTTACAAKAGYACTTCAACATCCATAGCTGTMATTTTCGTTTTTACCTTTCTTTGTCTTCTTCCATCGATACCAAACAACGAACACAATCAGTGCGATAATCAGCAGTATGATAAAAGATGATATACCACCAATTATTCCATCATTATCTGATGTTCTTGCACCTTTGCCGCCTGCAAGAATACCGCAACAAGTGCGTTTTGAGAAAGTATTAATCGTTAGTATCAGCCATTGCGAGCGTTTGGCATAAATCACAGGATAAGCCCGCTAACCAGGAAGCATATTTGCATATACTAAACAAATTTTCTTAGCATTTCATTTAGAGGACAATGTCTCGCTGATGCGCCTGCATGGTGTTCATTGGGTGTTCAACTTACCAGGAGTAGAGAAGTACAATTCTGCCCTCATATTACCAAGATATCCATCTTTTAATTCAGTTTTCAACTGTTCTAGGTAATTGGTTGCGTTTGGCAGTCGAGTCACTCGAATTTTTGCTATGACACTTCCCGATCTGTAACATAGTGATGTTGTTTGTAACGTTTCGCTGTCCACATAYTATCACTGAATTAACATCAATGGAGGGCAAGGGGGACATTTTTAAATGTAAAAAAGAATTAAGAATGCAATATTTTGAGTTTATAGGCTCCACTCCCCCCGGCACTTCCCTCCTCAAAAATGTTCCTTTGTTCTCGCTATATATACGCTCCTGTACAATACCGATATGAGCAAATGAGAATTTTGGCTTTTTAAGCATGTAAGATAGTGTTTGCAACGGGCCTTGTTGCAAAATATAACTATCCRTTTGAAGTCTCACGTCTGTAAGTGTATAGTAAAAAGAATAAGGAAAGTGATGATGAAAGCCCTTTTAGTTGTTCTCAAGACTGCATATTGGAGTGGAATAATAACAGAAATGCAAACAGACGATGTTATTTCCCATTCTTTATGTGATATTTAAAAAACGAGAGAAGAATTGTTTTAGACCCCAGTCGAGAGTGATTGTGATATTAAAAGGTATTCAAAATAGTTGTTACAAATCTTTCACAGGCTGACGATATTCGATTATTGAACGTTAGAGTTCCTTATGGTAACATACCTGAAATCTACAATTCCAAAGCCTTTGATGTAGTTCGTTGATTTGTAAGCAGCCCATAGCTGTWATAAACGTAAAATATTGTTAAACAGAGCTATTTAAGATTTTAAATTAATGACAAAAGTACAAATTTCTGTTATATTGCTGGTAAGAACGATTAGACCATCCAATGAAAATATGATCAGA